GGGGCGCGCTGGGCGAGTGCGCGGCCCCGCGCGACGGGCACCCGCCGGGCTCCAGAGGCGAGTCCCGCGCCCGCAGCGCTCATTCCCCGGTGAAATTTTAGGCGGCAAACTGTCCAAAGGTCCAAAGCAGAACATCGTTGGAATTCTTGAATATTCTTGAAAATTCCAGACCTCCCGGAGCACCCGGGCGCTCCGAAGAGAGGCCTTCCCGGTGTCTCGTTTTATTCCAGCGGCTTTCCGCGCTGTAAGATGCGCAGATCCCTTTGTGCTTCCGTCCGGTGCGATCGCAGCGCCCGGGCTTGTGACACACCTGCGCGCTGTGCGGAAGGTGCGCCTGGTTTTCAGCAGGGCGCTCATCGCATCTCCGCGTCGCCTGATGCCTGCGCTCAGGATTTTCCGTGTCGTGGCTGCGCCCCCGCGGGTGGGAAACATTTCCACGCGCCGGGCGTGTGCCAGGCCCGCGGCGTGTGCCGACCGCCGAAGAGCGAGTCAGTGTTTCAAATCGCTGTGAAGGTAACGTCGCTTTGAGCCGAGCTCAGCTGTGTTCTTCACAGTGCTGGAATGCATTCACCCAAGGGTTAACTACGTTTTTTATGATTTATTGGAATGTGCAAATATCTGTGTTGAGCTTTGGCTCATTTAGCTTCCATCTGGTAGAATTATCTCCCCAGGGAGACTTACGTCGGGCTTCAGTTTAATCATAGTAAATCCACACTTAAGCACTAACAGATTTTTATTGCATAGTGCATCCTATTTTGATTTTTGAGATACTGCGGGATCAAATGCTCATATAAACAGGGCTGCGTACACCTAATATAAACCCAAAATTTTAATTAAGTAAGGTTATGCCTGGTGATGCAGTTACATTCAGGGAGGTACTGTTTAGCTGCAGATCCAGGCCTTTCTGCTTCTGCTAAATGGTTGATTTTCTTCAGGGATGCTGAAGTACTTTCAGACTCGTGTAACTTTTTTTTTTTTTTCCTAACAGTTGAGGAAGGAGAAGTTGTGCTGTAACTGATGTAGCTGTCACAATTGCCTGAACAATATAGCGAGATAACACTTCATAGCAGCTAAGATAGTGTGTTATATCGCCGTTCATCATAGTGTGCAAACTGTGGGAGTGTGTTATGGAAATACATTATCACGGATCAATTTTAGTCATCTGCTGCTTGCTGTCCAGTAGCTGGTGTGGTGTGTTTTTGGCTATACCTGGTTGAAGTCTTAATTTTGATTTTGGATGACGTTGGCAGAAATATAAAGTTGTTAAATGGCTTATAAATATACAGAGCATCTGACCGCTTCTCTTTAGGGGCGAGGAGTGATTTACAAAGCCAAAATTGTGAGCAAATAACAAGATATTGCAATATTCCTAACAACTGATGGCTTTTTGAGTTTGAAACAACAGAATGCAAGTATCTTGTTTTCAAACTTCCTATCGATCTGATACGATGCTTTGCCTAGGATCTTGCATCAGTCTGTGCCGCTTGTGCAGGAATTGTACAGCTCAGGTCTTGGATAAGACTAGATACAGTTTCATTCACGTAAAACACTTTATCTGAAAGCCGTTCTAATTGAGCTTCCGTTAACTGGAAAGCTTGGAGGGGGTGTAGGGGAAAAACTCTGAATTATTGTCTGAATTTCTGGACTTCAGATACCTTCCTATATTTTCTGAGTCGTTCTTGCAAATAATTTTGTTAGAAATAAAAGTAGAAATATCTGGATTTCAAAGTATGTCACAAGAATTAAAACATTTGTCAGGCTGACTGGTGTGTTTCAGTGACGTGTAGGGCTTCCTGGAAGAAAGGTGAAAAGGGCACTGTCATGGATTAAGGGATACTTTTGTCACAGTGAGGTTTAAAGATGATCCCTGGCATTGTCCTCGCTTTTTAGAAAAGTTCTGTCCAGCTACAATCTCAGGCGATTTTTTTTTTTTTTATAAGGGAATGGAGAAAACTGCATTTGTTACCTTCTGAGTTTCAGCGGCCCGAAAGATCCTACTTAATTCTTAGCAGTAATAAAGTTTTCCCACTCATAAACTTTCTAAAACTCACTTATGCTAAAAATATTGTTGAGCTTGGTTGTGTTCTCCTGACTCGTTAAAGCATCCGGTGCTGTTCAAAGCACAGGGCACCCACTGCCGAGGTGCTGGGGGCGGGGGCAGGACTTTCCCTCTGGCGCTTCTTGTGATGTGCTTCTGCCACAGGATGAATTAATCCCTGTGTTACTTTACAAACGTGCCTGAACTTTTCAGACGTTTTTTCTGTTTTCCTTGTGTATCTTTCCAGCAATATAGTTTCTACTGAATCAAAAGAAGTATCCTATGAGGTAGCAATGGAGCTTCTTGTTACTGAGTATTGTTTCATTTTTAATGCCTTGCTGAACTTCAGCAGCTTAGGAATGCGTTGAGCCTCATTGTTTGATAGAAATCAGTCTTTACCAAAGCAAAATGGACGCAGTCTTGCTGTGAACTGTAGGAGTAGGTATGTGAAGCAGCAGTGTTCTATGACCAAACTACTTTGTCTTAAACTGAACAAAAGTTATGTTATTGATTAAAAATCTATAAACAAACAAAGAAACAAGTTTAATTATAATAATGGAAGAAGCGAGGTCTGGTATGAATTAAATAAATTTAGTTGTTCTTTAGGTCTGAGATCATGGGAACGGTTTTGCACTCCCAAGTGGACATAGCAAAAGGATTTGTCTTAATGGGGTGGAGGATCAGTGCAGAGGGGGGACTGGAAGACTAATCTGTGGAAGATTTGGACAGGATTGATGAGGATAGCGCAGCATTGGTGTCAGCAGTGGGAAACCTGTGGTGCTCATCTGCGACACTGGGGGAGGGAGGGGAAGACCCTCTGTGCCTGGTGTCCTCTTGAGGAACCAGATCAGCTGGCTGGGTGACGTGCAAGAGGGAGGGTTGTGGTGTGCAGGAAGGGGACTAGTGTGCAGTGTGACAAAATGGAAGAAAGATTAAAGTGGCGTGAGGGGAGAGAGGGATGAAAGGGTAGATAAACACTCCAGGCTGAAAAATAAAGTGTTACTGGAAAGACCTGATGTGTTTAGTTTAAAGAATAAAATAATTCTCAGTGTGCACTGCAGAAAGCTGGAGTCTTTCTAGGATATTGTTGGGGGGGGTGGAGCAGGATTTAGTCATCTGGTGTCAGTGTGATTGATAAAGTGCAAATTTTGTAGGTGTTATCCCAGGCCTTTTAGATAGGGAATATTTCCATTCCTTTATGATGAGTCAACATCTTTTTCTCTTTTCCTGGGTGTCATTCACGGTTAGTTTTTCTTGTCAAAAAACTTACCGTTACACCTGGGACTGAAAATCCCAAGAACAACTCTTGAATTGGCAAGAATTAAAACACAAAGACTCTGCTTGTGTTTGAAATCTTCTTACAGAGAGACTGTAACTTCGGTATGTTTTAGTGTGCACCATCTGTTTGCATTAGGATTTAACTATTTCTGTTATGTTTGTTGCTTTTTTTCCCCCCAATAATTAATTAAGAGGTGGCTGTTGCTAAACAGCAAACTTATCTGTGTCAGTTACACATTTCAACCTACAGCATGAATTATTTTATATTTTTGGAATGCAGGCTTTTATTTATAGCTCTCACATAACGGTTTGAATCAGTTTTGCAATATGAATGGTAAAAGAGTCGATTTTAGTACTTCAGCTATATCTAGAAATAAGGCAAGACTACCCATCTGTAAAATTCCTCTGCCTTTTAGTCGCCCCTGTCTAAAAATGGTGTGTTAAATGTGCTTGTTTAGACGTGAACCACTGGCTCTTATCAACCTCAAAAAGAAAAATGAAGAAACTGGGGAAGAAGAGCTTGCCTCACGCTTGGATCACTGCAAAGCAAAAGCCACCAGGCACATATTCCTTATCCGTCACTCTCAGTATAATCTGGATGGCCGGGCTGATAAGGACAGAACTCTGACCCCGCTTGGTATGTATTTTGAGAAAATTGTTTGTCACGTGCTGCTGTCCTGATGAGGACAGGTCAGTCCCTCAGCTCTGTCCTGGGTCTCACTGCCAAACTTTAATGCATTTTCTCCATCCTTTGAGGCAGAAAGATGTCATAAATAAGTTTGTTTTTTCCAGTTTTGATCCTCTAAATCCAAACACTAAAATGTGCTTTGCAGAGTTCTGAAGACACTCAGTTGTAAAGAAACTTCACAAACAAAGTTTCCAATTATACTAAGGTTGCTTGAGCAAATTTTCATGCTAGCTGACATAATTCCTCAGGGCTAAGCGTTTTAAACTTAGCTCCATGACTAGTTTTGGGATAGGTTTCTCTTAAAAGATGGCTTGTGTTTCTGTTAGTTAATTTGCTGATTTATCAAAAAAAAAATTACCCTGACTTTCCTTTCAGTTGGAGTGTTTATAGTTAAATACGCTTCACTTTTGCTACTAAGCACTGTTTTTGGGAATACTGCTGGTCAGTTACATGACATGAGGATAACCTCTGCCTGCGTTAATTCATTGATCCTGTGACCAGGTCCCAAATGTTAATTGGTGTTATTTTTTAATAGTTTACTTAAAAGCAGTGGACGCTTTGTTGATTATATGTATGCCAGCACTGTTTTGAGGGGAGAAGAATTATTATTGTGCAGTGCTGCTTGAGATTTTGGAAGTCTGGTGCCGAATATTTAGTATAAACACCTTTTTTTCCCCTCAAATCTTAATCACCAGTGTGTAAACAGGAGTGAAATGCTAATTTCAGGACTAAGGTGCTATCTTAAACTGGTAACAAACTATAATCTTAATCCTGTCTCATCCTGTGCTTTGGGTAAGGTGCTTAAACTGTCTGTTGTCTTTTCACCTACCTGCCTGAAAGATGGAATAAAGCCTTCCCCAGGATATCCAAGGGCTGTGGTCTTAACTGTTCCAAGGTGATGTTGCCTTTATGAAAAACGCACTGTCAGGTCTCAGTGGATCTGTTTGACACAGTCTCATCTTCTGCGCCGCGCAGGCATAGAGGTGGCAGATGTCTTGGATCAGCACAGTCTTGTATTGGAAGTGGCTCCCTTGGGATGGGGCTGGCAGGGATATGGAATACTTTAGTGAAAGTCTCTGAATAAGTTCTGATTTTTAATTTTTTTTTAATGAAAAAGAAACCCACACCAAAACGTAATTTTTCCTGCCGATGGAAACACGACTTGAAATTGTCCAGCCAATAAGCTTGATCTGAATAAGTAGTGACTCTGGTAAAAATGTTTTCCAATTACTTTTTGAAACGAAAGAAACTGACATTGACTGAGACCTTTTATGTCTACTGGACAACCTTCTTGGTAGTTTGTGGGAGGCGCTATGTGAGTGTCACTAATTTATGTAACAAATCTCATTTTTAAGGTCGAGAGCAGGCTGAACTGACTGGACACAGGCTGGCCAGCTTGGGGTTAAAATTCGATCAGATCATCCACTCCTCTATGACTAGAGCAACTGAAACAACGGAAATTATAAGCAAACATCTCCCAGGTAAGCAGCTTCCCTTAATTTTTCATTGTCTTTTGAGCCTTAAAACTGCTTCCGGTAGAATTCTAGGCTTGTCCTTAAGGTTGAGATGTTATTTAGCCAACTTCCAGCCCTGTGTGAATATGTTTGTCTTTATAAAGAAACTGACAACCCTAATTCTGCTGTTTCCAGTTCATCTTTTAAAAATACAAGCAGGGTTTGCCCCTCCGAGTGACCAGCTGCTACCTGTATGTGCTGCTGAGTAGGAGAACTCTGCTGGTTGCTCCTCACTTAGGCGTTTTGTAAAGCCAAGGCTGTCACAGGTCAGGATCAGCCCTCAGTCCAGGGGGCAACAGCACAGGAAGGAAGAGGATCATAAACTCCAGTCCTTGTAGTGATGGGTTAGTTAAAGGCCCTCCTTGTGTGCTGTCCCCCTTCCAGGGGAAGATGGGGCAAACTCACAGAGGTGCAGGGATTTTTTAATGTGGGTTTTTCTTTATATGGGGTTTTGGGTTATTGTGGGGGTTTGTTTTGTTATGGTTGTGTTTTGTGTGTTTGTTTTTTTTTCCTCCTGCTGTTCAGCCATACCAGAATCTAAACTGTTTGACTGTACGTAATTTGGTCTGGTATTTTAGCAGATATTCAGGTATGACTAGCTAAATGTCAGCTCTCTTAGCCATTCTGTGTTTTTTTTCTTAAATGTGCTGCTTCCAAAAAACGCCCAAACCAACAAAACAAAACAAAAAACCCAAACAACCCTCCCAAACCTCAAAGCAAACCAAAAAACCTTCCCTAAACCATCTTTCCTTCCTCAGAGTAAGAGATTAAAATATGAATATAAATACTAAATATCCAAAGTGCAGCACTGACATAGATCAGCAGTCAGCATGAACTGACCGACAGCTTTAGATTAACAGCCTTGCAAGTGCATTTGTTCCAAGTGCAGCAGACTGGGAAGACTTAGCTTGCTGTGGCAAACTGGTCTGGCTGTTCTCAGCTGGGATAAACTTTGTCTTGATGACAGAACAGTTGTGTTGGATTCATAGCCCTTGATAGGAAGTCTGTAGACTAAAACGGTCTTTAGGGTGGAGAGGAAGACTTCCTTGAAAAGCGAATATGAATAATGTACTGGTTGTGGAGTTGCGGGCGTGTTTGCAGTGGCACTTGAAGTAACATCTGCTTTCTGAATGTGCATTTAATATTTCAGGAGTCAAAAAAATTAGTACTGATCTGCTGAGAGAGGGAGCACCTATAGAACCAGACCCTCCAGTCTCTCACTGGAAACCAGAAGCTGTGGTAACTTTTTACTTAAAGTTTTGTGGTTTTGTTTTTTTTGACTTGTCTTTTTTTTTTTGTTTTTACAGTATATAAACATATTTGTGTTTTTACAGTATATACAGTATATTTACATATACTTTGTTTTTACAGTAGCAATAACTTACAGTGTTTGAGATGATGCTTTTCATCACAGACCTTAGATAATTGCGTACTTTTTCCTCCCCAGTAAGTGTACAGAACAGTTAAAATAACTCACAGTCCTTAGAATTAGTCCAGCCTCAAGTGTGCATCCCTTTAGAGGGCGCAGCGTGTTTGCGGGTGCGGACAGCGGCGGTGCCGCCCTGAGTGGTGTTTAACCGTGAGCTCTGTGCCATCAGCAGTATTACGAAGATGGAGCTCGGATCGAGGCCGCTTTTCGGAACTTCATCCATAGAGCTGACGCAAAGCAGGAGGAAGACAGCTATGAGATCTTTGTCTGCCACGCCAACGTGATCCGCTATATCGTGTGCAGGTACTCGTGACGTTGCTGCTCATCCATGTTCTTTCAGAGGTCGTAGTTCTCCTGCAGTGGTGTCAGTGTGTGGCACGGCTGAGCTAGGGCATGTGTTGATGTGGCTCGTTTGAAGTTGCTGGAGGTCAGTGCCTGTGTTATGAGCAGGTGCTTCTGCACCACAGGATTAATTTGCAGATACAGGACATGTTTGAAAATTAGAACATTTTCATTCTAATTCTAAAGTGAGAATGGCTAAATTGAGGAGACTCTAAACATTTCCATATGTCTGAACAGTCTCTTTAGTACGTTCTGCTTCCCGGAAACCTGAGGGCAATGCCTATGTGGACAGTTGGAAAAGATAACAAATAGAGCATCTGACTGGATGCGTCTTTTTGAGGTGACATGAATTTGATCTCATATAATGAAAAATTGATTTAGGTTTGGGAATTATTTATCAATGAAAGTTTTTGTATTATGTTTAAGTTGCATTAGTGTGTTTTTGCAGCAACATCCAGTAGTGGATGAGAGGGCAGAGTGGATCTTTCTGCCACATCAAGGTTGTTCATGAAGGAGAAAACAGTTCTGGATCTTTGCCTGTCTTTGTATCCAGTCAGCTGGTCTGTTTTATTCCTCTTCCCTATCCACAAAGCACTGTCTGCAAGATCATTTGTCTTGAGCAGGACAGATGTGATTAAACTTTAATCTGATCAATACCTACAACGATTTCGGTTCGCTTTATTTAGCTGAGCTAGTTAAATGCTGGCCTGTCTGCTCTGTGGACTGCTTTAGAGCTCTTCAAAATTGCTATACTTAAAATTATTGATCAGGTAAACAGAATGTTCTTTCCTGTGCCAAAAAAAAATTGTCTTGCTGCTACCTGGGCTTTTTCTGAACTACTTCTGTACTTTTTGCTGTTTCTTCCCTCTTCTTTTTAACTTCTCTTCTGTGCCTTCTGTTCCAGGCTATCTGATCTGATAGCACAATTGAACACAACCCATATAGCATTCCCTTTGAATCTAGCTTGACTGCAGCTGTTACTTAATTTCTTAGACTGTCATAAGGGCCAAAACCAAGTTATTCCTCAGTATCTGAGGCAAAAGATGTTTGAGACAACATGATGTTTTTTCCAGCTGTTTACTGCAATTGATTGAACCCCTGAGCCTGCTCAGCTAGGGATTTTAGAATAGCCAGAGACTAGCTGTGATGCTCTGTGTCTTCTAAAAGCACAACGTACTTTTTCTTGCTGCCGATGGAAAGTAGTTCTGGTGAATTTCTTCCATAGGCACATGCAGGCAACTAGAATGAATCGCCTCTCCCTGCCTCCTCTGTGTGTTGTTACACACCTGCCCATGTGGATGAGGCTAAAAGAGGGGACAGAAGTGTGCTGCTGTTGCCCCTGACACCTGTGGTGTGTGAGGAGGCCCGCTGGCGTGGGGAGCCATCTTCCCTACCTGTCCGGAACTGCACAGGGTTTTGTGGTGCTGCAGTTGGCTCAGTGACCGACTTCAACCTGCGCCGTCAGTTGTCCTGTTTGTTACGAGGTTGCTCCGAGCGCTCCCAGCTCCGAGCGCTCCCAGCAACCTGGCTGCGTTAGAGCTTCTACCTGCTGTCCATTCGAATTAAGCCTGTCTGCAGTAATCATCCCCATCTGCTGGGCTCTGCTTATGCAAGTGCCTTGTTGGCACTGGGCCAGTTACCAATGCTGCATTTTCCTAGCAATTGCACAAGAAAAATATTTTTTCCAAGGCTGACCGTGGGAGCATTTGTGCAACCTGCAGAAGGACCAACAATTTTTTTTTTTTCCCCCTCTTATCTGGAGCAGAAGGTGATGCTGTGAGGACATGTTAATATAACATGTTAATATAAGGAATAATAATTTTTTTTTTTTTTTACTAGGGCATTGCAGTTCCCCCCAGAAGGCTGGCTGCGAATGTCTCTGAACAATGGCAGTATAACTCACTTGGTGATACGTCCGAACGGCAGAGTGGCTCTTCGAACACTGGGTGACACAGGTTTCATGCCGCCAGATAAAATCACACGCACCTGAATGAGCAAAAACGATGGCTGTCCAGGAGCTGCCTCTAGTCTCTCTGCACTAGAACGTTCAGCTGCAGTACTGCTAGATTTTATCTGTTACCCTGGGGTGTGATGCTGTCTTAAAAATGTCCCTTAGCCCCTTGCCTCCTTCATACATATTCATATCTGCCTTTCAGTCCAGAAAAGAAGAAATCTTTGTAAGCCTGAAGCTGTCCAATCCTCATGTATTCCCCAAAACTGTGGAATACAAAGAGATTGAATGTCTGCGTGCTCAGCAGTTGCGAGAGCACTGACTTCCCCCCACCCCTCTGCCGTGAATTTCTGTAACCAAAGCTTGCTCCTGTGGATCTTTTTCCTGTGCAGGAGAGCAGTTGGTGTGGGAGCTGGAAGGAACAGCCTTGTATCACACTGCAGCTAAAACCGAAGACGAGACAGCTTGTTACAACTCCTGCAGAAGTGACAAACAGGGTGTTCTGCTGGTCAAAGGGATAAGGCTTCAGTTTTTGTAAGCTGTTGGGGAATGTACTTTTATGTTGTGTCATTGTTCCCCTCTGCCCCCAAAAAGCTCCTGTAAACTGTGCCTGGAGAGTGTAAGCAGAAAGCAAAGAGGGTTAAAAAAAAAAAAATTGCCACAGAGCTGTGGTGCTGGCGTTAACTACTGCTTATACCAAGTGTTCTCCATCCTCAGGAAGTACTTGAAGCTATTCTGAACAATGTTTTTCAGCCTCATAAAGCCTTTAACTAAAACTTGGTCTGTAGAAGGATGTAGGGGTGAGTTTGTAGGAGGAAGAGGGAAGGAAAGGAAAGCAGCAATGCTTTCTCCATTGATTTTCATTGGTCAGTACCTTGCTTTCAGAGGAGCGGAACACCACCACTGCCTCCAATGTAGTGCTACTTCAGGTCAGAGGTTCTGCAGCACTGGAGCAAACTGCTGCTTAACACTGCTGTTGCTTGAATGGTGAAAAAAGTCTCATCTGTGGGATGGCTTGTCTTGGCCAAGCGCGTGGTACAGGCGTCGGGCAGAAGGCGTTAAGTGGCTCCTTTGTACAGCTCTGGCACTGCTGGACTTGTGCTAGGACACATGCAGGTGGCAGAGAACTAGGCTGCATTTCCACGGGAAAGGCTCTGACGCGTTTCAGCCTGTTTGTGAGGCACCCGACACGGTGCAGCCACGTCGCTCCGTTATTGCTACATTTCACCGTAGGCACAGTCTGCCGTGGTGACAGAGCACCGACCAGGCCGGCCAACGTACGGTAACGTGTTTGACAGGTTCTCTTGTCACCAAGAACGTTCACAGCACCCTAAATTCACTCCTGTCAGCGCTGTATGAAACATAACCATGGCACCCAACCTCGTGAGACAAGGTTTAATGGCTTATTTGATACAGGACTGCTACATCCGCACGATTTCAAGGAAACTGGGCTAGTAGGGGACAGACATGATTGTTGTGTAGTGCAAGTCGTAGGGGCAAGAGGAAACCATCATGACGTATCTGTCATTGATGCAACGAGAATAATTTATCAGTTTTTGTCTATTAACTTTTTAAAAGTTTTGAATAAAATAACTGTTCTGTCTGTCTTGTCTCTTCAGTTGAATGGTTTTTATGACCGTCTCCTGTAGAACATACGGCTGAAGTGCTGTACAGTAACTTATGTGTGATTTTGCCCGCTGAGCAGCCTTTGTATCCCACGTTGCTTGGGGCAACAATAATCTCCCAACTGTGTTTTAACTCCAACAGCTGAAATGTAAACTTGAGATAGTAGCTACCTCAGAGTTAATCATCAACTACAGAAACGTGTGCAAGTACTGTAGTATACAAGAGGGGACTGCTGTACTCTAGTCCTAGGCTGTGGGATCCTGGTGTGCTGGGAGTTACAGAGCTGTGTCACTTACCACCATGTGGAGGAGGAGCACCAGAGCTGGTAAAATGAAAATTCTGTGCATTTTTATTTGTGTGTGTGTGTGTGCACACATACCCTCTCACATACATACCCTTCTATGCCCCCATGCCAATAAATAGGTTCTTGGGGGGCAGCCAGAGGCCACACACCACCTCTTTGCACATGTACAGAAATTAACATCATTTTCAGTGGCACTGAAGTTATGGGGAGAAAGCATCCAATTTAAGTACAGAATTTTTACAGTGGTCAGACTTCCTGTCATTTAAAACATTTTGGTTGTTCTTTAAGTCTTCAGTGGCATAATCCAGTGTCATTGCACACACACACACACAGAGGATGCACAGAGTTGTGTCAGTCAGGCCTGGACAAATCTGTAATTTGCCATGTCACGGTTATCAACCATGTTACTTACCACCCTGCTCCATGAACTAAACACAGTCTGACACTTTCAGCTACTCATTTATTTTTTAATAGAAAGTGGGATAACTCTGTATTTTTTAACATGACACTTGGCTAATTAATAAAAACCAAAACCACAGCTAATCATTTGCACCTTTAAAAGTGAACTTTTGGCGAGGAAAACACAATTTAAGCAATATCAATCTGAGTTAAAGTGTCTCCACAGACTCAGGGTGCAAGAGCTTTCTTCACAATCATGGATGATCAAATCGGTACATAAATTGCTATTTTTTTTTTTAATAGCCGAAGTAAATATATTGTTAGAAAAATGACCTCTTAAGATGCAGTACAACTGGACTAATACACAGTATATAACATAGCTTAAAAAAATTATTCTCTTGACTGAACCAAAACAAAATTACAAAATGAAAGGCAAGGGGTTGGTGGAGGTGTGTGGGTGGGGGGGTGTGTCTATGTGTACATACTAGTAATATACATTTAAATACTAAAAAAAAAGGGAGCAAAGCATAATAAAAGTAAAAAGGACAAAAAGGAGAGCTCTAACAAACTCGTATTAAAACGGCAACAGCGCCCTATGACAGCTCAGGAAGGACCAGGGTGGAGAACAGCAACTTACCAAACGAATTTGGCTTTAACATGGTATTAGGCAATTACTCATCATCTGAAAAATTTCTCCAGAATGAAAGACATCATTTACATTAAATTATTAAAAAAAACCCACTAAAATTAGAAAAAAAAAAAAAACAACACACCAAACAAAACACCAACCCAAAACCGTTTAAAGTAAAACTGCAGGAATTTGAGACTTAAAAGTTGTTTGAGACCACAGAGACTGCTGCATCAAAAAATGAGACCCAAAAAAAGCCTTATGAAAAAGTCAGTTAATATATTTGGTAACATGGCAGGTTGTGGTTGGTTGTGTTTTTTTTTAAAAAAAGGTCTCTTAAAGAATGACACCCCCACCCCTTGCCCCATGACCCCCAGCTCCTTGACTGGAATACCACTGAATGACAGTCATTTGTGTAAAGCAGCAATTTGTAACATCCAGCTCACTGGAAACAGGCTTAATTATAAAGAAAGAGCCAACTAAGCTTTTTTTTTTAAAGAATAATTTCTAAAATAGGAATGCTGTCCCCCAGCGGAGAGCTACCGCACCAAATAATGAAACTTAGAAACAGAGAGACATTAAAATGTGTTACGTTCAGAAAGCCCAGGAGAAAAACTGTTATTTTTATGTGCCTATAGTAAGTGGATGCCACTTTTTAATTTTTTTAAACTTCTAAAAGAACAAAAATTTTTTAATTAAAAAAATATGTTACAAAAGGCACTATTAAGCTTGCAAAAGCATTAAGTGCAGGGTTTTTTAGGTTTGTACCAAATGATGAACCTATCGAAGGGCGTACGGAACAGCCACTCTGCAGTGTGCAACAGCCATCAAACCATCAAGCGCTGGATTCCTAAATCCAGCCTGTCTTGGTGGGACCCACAGGTGGTGCATGGACCCACTACTTACAGCACACCATCCTGCCCCCGCCGAGGGCTTCCTTAGCCATGAGCATCGCTTATGGCCGTCCAAGGAGGCTCCATGCTTTCTCACATCCTGCGTGGCACCAGGGAACCCAAATCCATCCCTTTTTACCAGCACAGCCTTGGCAGACTTCAATTTGCTGATGAGATTTTTACAGCGTAAGGATAGACAGGTCTGCCTGTTTGGGGGTTTTTACCTAGAGAGCTCTCAACACTAGAGAACTCTTTCTGGAAGCCTCTTTCAAACAACATTACAACCATTAAGCGTGATGCAGAAAACTGTCTTTGAGTTTTGAAGAGTGTTCTTCAATCCCAGCATCATACTGTCGAAACAAGTCATTCTTACAGAAGACTAAAGAATAAAATTATTGACAGCTGTAACAAAAACTCGTTACCACATCAAGACTAGAGACATAGTAAAAGCTTGGAGTTCAATATAAATATTTTTAGTCCTTATTCCTCAATCTTTACCGCTGGGAAGTAAGGAGCCACAGCATGGGTCACTGGCTACCATGTATTACAAACTAGACCATTAAGGTATCTTGCTGGTAAATTTGCTGAAATTATTGCTGATGTGCTTTTGTGTAGTAACTATTAAAATCTGCTAATATTAAAAGCTTCTGTGGGGAAAAAAACAGCTAATTTTTAGATTATTTTTTTTTAATCTTCAAACTAACATTTAAAGAAATACCAGTAATTTCTATAGTGCCCCTGTACTAAAACACTCCATATCTTGGTGTTTGTAACAGTCTTGGAAGAAGCAAAGACTCAAGGTTTTCTGTGTGAATTCGTGCAGACATGCACACATACAGTGTCAGTGTGTGGCTCTGCGACTGCCCAGACCAAACTGCTGCCTACAAACACTTTCTGTTTACGCACAGGGTTTCGCACTCACGCTCAGTACTGGGAAGTTGCCATTTCGTTACTCGGGCTTTGTTACAGGCTTTTCACTGTGAGCACTCCCCCTGCAAGTAGAAGAACAGTTTACTTCTTGCCATCGATTTCCTCTCATGACATTTCTGTTTACTGATGACCTGCTTCCTCCAGACTATCCAAGCAAAGAAATGCAGGGGAAGGCTAACAGGTTCAGGACAACAATGACAGCTGGTGATAGCAAAACACCATTTCTAAGGAAAGGTTCAGCTCACTGCTGAACTGGCAACAAGGGTGAATTCATAGCTACTGGACAACTGCACTGACTGTCACTAACTCCTTGCATATCACCGGTGATCTATCTCTCATATGCTATAAAGACATACTCTTTTTTTTTTTAACATACACTTGTCCTCAATTGAGGAAAAATAAATAGCCAAATACAAACCTCATGTC